AGAGGGACGGCGCAGGAGAGGAAGGCCCTCTATGAGGTGGATTGATTCAGTGACTGGGATAATTGGGATGGGAGTGTCAGAGACGGTGTGATTGGCACAGGACAGAGCGGAGTTTAGGGCTGTTATACATAGGGCCGCTATGAGTCGCAAGCGACTCGACAGCACATAACAACAACATTTCAGGTTATTTCCTTTTCCCCTTCCCCTACTCTGTGATAACTCATCCAATAACTCAACTCTGTTCATTTGCTAGAGAGGAAAGGTGGTCTTTGCAGATAACGCCCACACTGCTGCACCCTAAGAATAATTTCCTATCTCCATCATTTCCTAATATGCCAAGTTCAAAGCAAGCAAAACAAAGTTATACAAAAATTACATGGGGTATCCTAAATTTCTACACTGACACATTCTAATTCAATAGATGTGGAATGTAACCCAGCATCTATATTTTTTTTTAAATATAACAAGTCATAAATATATACTGCCTTGAATTTTTAAACTGGACAGATCTTATCTAAACCTTTGTTGAGAGTGGAGACATGAATGAATGAAAGAAAGAAAAGATAAATATGAATCCAGAGAGATGGGAGCAGAGAGAAAGACACACACACACACACACACACACACACACACACGCACACACACGCACACACTCTCATACCCCAGCAATTGATTCATTCCCATTCTCTTTTCCCGAAGAAACAAGATTGGGACATAGGGAACTTTCAGATAAATCCAGTAAGGTAGTGTGACTCTCTATGATAAGTTAATGAGCTTTGATTGCTACTTTCATGGTTATAAACAAAAAAGAAAAAGTAAAACTGGTATGACTTATTGATTAGATGTCATAAAAGTTGATGCTTCTAAGTTTGTTTACACACAACCAAGTAAATGATGATGCCATTAAATCAGATCTGAACTTACTGAAGGGCAGAACATGTGTTTGATTCTTCTTTTGTTTACCGACCATGACAATTATTTCAGAGTATTATTATTATAATAATAAAATAAAGTATTATTTCAGAGAGGAGTATCTTTTGGCAAAGACAAAATTTTATTCAATGATGAAAATGCTGCACACGAATTTGCAATGATTAAGACTAAATGAGGTGCTCTGGTAGCCAAGTGAATAAGGAGATACACTGTCACCCCAAGGCCAAGCAGTTTAAATCCACCAGGTGCTACATGGACAAAGATGGGCAATCTCCTCCTCTTCAGTTTACAGCCTCTGAAAGGCCATGGAAGGGTTAGCTATGAGCTGGTTTCAATTGGACAGCAATTAACTTTTTGTTGAAAAGTAAATCAGGTGATAAACCAAGAATTACAAAATATAGGCCTACTTTAAAATGTAAAACCCTGAGAGGAATTGTATGCAGGCGGAGAGAAAGTTACATATTTCCGAACTCCTTTTCATCACCTCCTGGCTTCTTTCAAATCAAGCCTAATCTAAATAAAGGAAGATGTAGTTCAAATGAAAGCGTCCTTCCTGGAATATCGTGGACCGGATTCTCCCATATAAAAAATCAAATAAATAAATAAATTTGACCTTCAAATACATAAAAAGCTAAGCAGATTATCAGCATTCACCCTTAAGAGTAAAAGGCATAAACCATCAAGAAACCAAGGGGCCAGAAGAATTAAAAAACACCTACGATATAATTTAAACAGCCAGCATGTAGTCTTTTTGAAATTCATGAAGACGAAATACAAAAGAAAATCATCGCGATTCCATTTCCAAATGTTAGTCTTCTGATTAAATAGCAATACCTCGACAATATTTGTTGTTCCTATACCAGATCTAGTAGTCCGTCCACTAAACCACAAGTGTCAGAAAGTAATTTAAAGCAGGGTGAAGAGGGGTGTGCAGAGGGAACATGAGTGAAACTGACAGAGGAAGCTACCTGCCAAGAGTAAACAGTCTCTAGTATATGATGAGTCATCACCAAACCCAAATATTTATCAAATACTCCTACACTGGGAAATGCGGCCAATGGCAGGTCATGAAACTGGTGACCCTAACCAATGGGCACGAGAGGTCCCTTCAGGAAGGTGGATAGCAACCAAACCTCCTGTATACCTAACTCTAGTTCTAACCAACTGGGAGGTCACTGACCACTTCGGTCAAGAGGCACCACAGATAACACACAGAGAAGCCTTGAAGTGTCCTGAATAAAAGTTTAGTTAGGCAAGCATTATGGAACTGAATAAATCTCCAACTCCAGGATTGGAAACAAGCCCTGCTCCACTGGCAACATCCTGCTATTGGAAACATACCTCAGCTCTTTTGGTAAAGTGGATCCCTTAACTTATTCAAAGCATAGAGCTGCTTAGCATCTACCCTCAGTTCCTTTAATACTGAGCAAAGAGGCGATGACAGACACCTTTACCGGAGCACAGCACAGAAGGGCAATTTAGGGAAATGATTCAAAGACAGGAAGGACACTGGAATCAGAAGGGTCGACATATAAGGAACTACACTCAGGAACTAGGGAACTACCAGTCCCGTAGAAAAGATAACACGAATAAAATTACACCGCTCTAAGGCAGGGCACAGAGCAACAGCGTGGAGAACTAGATGGCACAGGAACTGGAAAGAGGGTCTCAAATTCAAGGACTGAGCCGGCATTCTATGGAAAACAGCTGACACCACCATGTCCTACACTCTTCCATCTGCCCTGTGATGTTCGCGTGGCGGGAGGGCCTTCACGTCCTCCCGCGACCAGTCTCCAGGGGATAAAAATCCTCCTTCCAAGTAATATCAAGCATGCTGTCCTAGGCCGTTACTTACCTTCCCGCTCACTACACCAGCAGCCGCCATATTTCCTACGCGTGCCTGTGATGACGTATGAGCGCCTCACGTGCTCTCAGACACACAACAACATCCGGCAAAACTAGGAAGGCTTCCGGGCGGAAAGAGGCGGGGAGTGGCGGGAGAGGTTCCGAGCCATCGGGTGAGGTGGGAGGGGCCTCCTGCGGGCTCGGAGTCCGCGGCCTCTCGGGTGGGGTCTCTGGTGCAAGACTGCGCATGTGCCAGTTTCTTTTTTCAGGGCGGGCTCCCAAATTCAATTGTATTTGAATTGGAGTGGTGGCTCTGGTCTTTTTCTAGCCATTTCAATTTGATGTGATGGAAGGAATACCATGTTAGGAGCCAGAAAACATCTGTGACCTTTTGGCTTCCACCCTCTAAGCCTGTTGCTTGTTCTGTTATAACTCGTTGCCATCCAAGCCGGAACTGACTCTGCCGAACGAACCTCTAGCAGGTTTTCAGAAACTGTAATTAGCACGAAAGAAGACTGCCTATCTTCTCCCGCAGAATACGCAAGTGGCATTGAGCTGCCTGCCTTTGTGTTGGCACTGCAGCTTCTTACACCCGTAAACATTAAAGAAGACAGCCTTGTGCTGCAATCCCAAAGTCCCTCGGTTCTAATCCACCAGCTGCTCTGTGGGAGAACTATGGATAATCTCTTCCTTTGTGAGTTGCTGCCTCTGAAAACCCACTGAAAGGGCAGCTGTGGATCAGTTCCAACTCGACAACAAACAGCCTTGTATCTACACCAAGAAGGTGTCTGAACAGAGCAAAGGAACGCTGCATGGTTTAAAATTGGGAAAGGTGTGCTTCAGAGCTGTAGTCTCCATGCCAATTCAATCTGTATGCTGAGTAAGTCTTTGGAGAAGGTGAACTTTATGAAGGAAAATATGGCATCAGGATTGGAAGAAGACTTAACAACATGCATTATTCAGATGACATAAGGTTGTTTGTTGAAAGCGAGGACTTGAAGCCTTACTACAGATCAAGGTCTATAAACTTCAATATTAATTGCTTTTCAATATCAAGAAGACAAAAATTTGCACTACTTGTACCAATAATTATCGTGATGCTAGATGGAGATAAGATTGAAACAGTCAACGATTTCATCTTACTTGGATCCACGATCAATACCCGTGGTACTAGCAGTCAGGATCCGTGAGGAACATTGTCAAAGTCCTGAAAAGCAATGATATCAGTGTAAAGACCAAGGTGTGCCTGATTCAAGCCATGGTCTTTTCAGTTGCTTGCTATGCATCTGAGAACTGGACAATGAATGAGGATGACAGAAAAAGAATTGATGCCTTTGAGTTAGGGTGTTAGAGAAGAGTGCTGGACAAAAGAATAAAGCGCTATGTCTTGGAGAAAGTGCAGCCAGGGTGTTCCTTACAAGTAAGGTGAAGCTTCATCTCACACATGAGGAGCTATTCCTTGGAGAGAGGCATCATGCTTGGAAAGGTAGAAGGTCAGTGAAAGAGAGGAAGACCTGAGATGGATTGGCACGATGACTGCAACTCTGGGGTCAGGTATGTCAGAGAAAATGAGGATAGACAGGGTTCAGATCTATTTTTCATAGAGTTGCTATAAGCCATATTCAGGTTGACAATAGCCTTGTATATCTCTAGCATACTCTAGCTCTCCCCACCCCCTCTTTCTCTCTTACACACACACACTTTCCTTTTGTATGTGAAGGTCCTAAATTTGAATCGGTACTTGATACTCACTCTTGACCTCGACTAATGTATATTGATCAAAACTGTAACAATAACATGCCCTCACTGATCAAGTCCTGCACATGTACCTGATAGTTCATGCAGTTACTTAATGACTTTGTGGCTTTATACAAGTTTCTGAATCCAAGAAACCTTCAGGCTGTGAAGTAGGAATAATCTCCTGAATTGTAAGAAATACTTGTTACAATGTATGTGTCGTAAAATATTTTGTTGAAATTTTAAGATATTATTTGTTGCACTCTCAGTGCTGTAAAAGAATCAAAAGATAGTGTTTCTAATACTATCACTTGAAAGCTCTGCCATGAGAGCTAGGGCTTCTCTTTCTTCGTTTATCTTTCTTTTTCCTCTCTCTCCCCCTGCCCCCCCCCACACACACACGCACGTACTTCTTGATGTGGTTCTATTATATTCTGAAAGAGTAGAGAGTTAGAGGCTAACATTTGCTTGAAACCAATGACAACTGAGGAACTCTGGTGACTTAGTGGTAAGGAGTTGTGCTGCAAACACAAAGTCAGAAATCCTAATCCTATCACCTGCTCCACAAGAGAAAAATGGACAGTCTTCTCATGTGTGATATACTGCCTATGAAAACCCATTGGAGGGTCAGCTATGAGTCAGTTGACTCAGTTCTGACTCAAATTTATATAACAACAACAAATGACAAACACATGAAACAGCAGGACAGGCTCATGTGACCATCAGAAACCGGATAAGTGAGAAAGGTGGCAAGACCTTAAGTGGGAATGGAAGCGAGACATCCTCAGGGAGGCTGCACACTAGTCATCAGGGATTCTAACCACAGCCAAAAACTTGGCATTGAATCAACAAAGCAGACTACCTGTCAACCATGAATGGCCTGGGGATATAAGCATGTTAGCAGGGACCAATGTCGACTGAAGGCCAAGCAGCCTTTTCTAAATGTCCTGAATTCAGTGTAGCCAAAGATAACTCTTCACTTTCCCTGTGTAAGGTGGAGAGTCTGAATAATAAGACAGATTTCATTTCACACTAGCTTAGAGGAAAACTTAAGGTAACATTTCTCAGATCCAATGTATTGGCGAAAAGCTAATGCCCTTAGACAATGCCCAGAAGTTCAATAAATGTGAACTTTTTTCACATAGTATGATTAAGAACAAAAGCCTTCCTCATCCTAGATTTATTTGCTTATTCTTGGTCTTCTCAAACCTCATCCTTCAACTGTGCCTTAATGTTAGCATTGCCATGACCTGTTTTTCATCTGTATTTTTCCTCTAAACACTTTACAGTGATCATCATCTTCATATTCTGACATCACTATTTCCTTAGTGCTGATGAGTCCCAGTTATCTCCAATCCAGGTCTCTTTCTTTTTATTTTTTTTTTAAATCTCTAGATCCTACATTGCCTACCTGCTGGGGTTTCTTAGCTAATGATTGATATTTGCCTCAAAAAATGCTCAACTTTATAGGTAGCATCAACCAGATCATCAAGAAGCTTGTTAGAAATACAAAACATTACATCCTACCTCTACTAAATTAAAAATTTGTATTTTAACAAAATTCTCCAGGTAATTTGGATATTACACTTGATTGTGCTCATGTAAAAGTTATACCTAGACCAGGAGGCAAGGGAACACTAGATGGTTTAAAATTAAGAAGGGAGTGTATCAGGGTTGTAGTCTCTCTCCATACCTATTCAATTTGTATGCTGAGGAAATTATTCAAGGAGCTGGATTCTATGAAGAGGAATGTGGCATTAGAATTGGAGATTCGTGAATAACCTGCATATGCAGATAGTACAACCTGGCTTGCTGAAAGTGAGGAAAACTTCATGCACCTTTTGCAGAGTATGAAAGAATACAGCCTTCAATATGGATTGCATCCCAATGTCAAGAAAACAAAGATTCTTATCACTGGGCTGATAGACAACATCATAATGTTGTTGTTGTTGTTATGTGCTGTCGAGTGGTTTCCGACTCATAGCGACCCTATGCACAACAGCCCTAAACCCTGCTCTATCCTGCGCCAACCACACTGCCTCTGACACACCCATCCCGATTACCCCAGTCACCGAATCAATCCATCTCATAGAGGGTCTTCCCCTCCCGTGCTGTCCCTCCACCCTCCCAAGCATGATGTCCCTCTCCAAGGACCTGTCCCTCCTGGCAACATGTCCAAAGTATGTCAGACGAAGCCCCAGAATCCTTGCCTCCAAGGAGTAGCTTAGTTTAATCCTCTCCAAGATGAATCTGTTTGTTTTCCTGGCAGTCCATGGTACATTCTGTACCCTTCTCCAGCACCACAGCTCAAAAGCATCCACTGTCCTTCTGTCCTCCAGAGAGACACTGTTGCTCCTGAGTACCTTAGAGAGGTCCCTAACAGCATAATAGATGGAGAAAAGATTGAAACTGTTAATGACTTCATCCTACTTGGATCCATAATTAACACCCTTTGTACCAGCAGTCAAGAAATTAGGAGACATATTGCACTGGGAAGGGCTGCAGTTAGGGATATCTCCAAATTATTGAAGAGTAATGATGTCAGTTTGAGGATTACGGTGCATCTGGTTCAGGTCATGGTCTTTCTGATCTCTTGCTATGCATCTGAGAGCTGGACAATGAGTAAGGATGACAGAAGGAGAATTGATGCCTTTTAGCTATGGTGCTGGAGAAGAGCACTGAACATCCTATACTGCCAAAAGAACAAACAAATATGTCTTGGGGAGAGTACAGCCAGAGTGCTCTTTGAAGGCAAAGATGATGAGGCTTCATCTCACATACTTATGGCACGTTGCTAAAAGGAGCTATTCCTTGTAGAGGAACATGATACTCAGAAAGGTGGAGAGTCAGAAAAGGAGAGGTAGACCCTCGACAAGGTGGATTGACACTGTGACTGCTGCAATGGGTTCTAGTGTGTCAGCAGGTGTGAGGATGCTACAGGATAGGACAGGGTTCAAATCTGTTGTTCATAGGGTCACTGTAGGTTGTACTTGACTCTACAGCTCCTAACAACAATTTGAGTGTACATTAACGTTTAAGTATCATAGTCTTAAAATAATCTGAGTTTTGCTCTTGATTCCAAACAGTAATACCTCAGGGTGAACATAATTGTGCATGTAAAGCTACTGCTATTTTCTTGCCCCTTTTGGATGTATCCTTTGAAGTGCTGATGAGAAAGCATCCTCATAACTCCTCTCCTGGCAGTTCTCACTCCCACTTCCATGGCCCAGTTCCTCATTACCTCTGGTTACATAATTACAGTGGAATCTGATTCATTTCATTGCTGCTTTATCTTCCCCCAAGTCCATCATTCAC